AAAAAGATTACAAAACGACGATTATACCAAAACATATACTGAGTACAAACCTGACAATTATGAATATCATTTGATTAACAGAAATACAAGCAACTCACTGTTAAGAGAATTAGCCGGAGTAGCATGGTCATCACACAAATTCACAATGGATACCGAATCAGTCGAGATGCACGGGCAACAAAATCAACCGGCATTAATCCAAATTCAAATGATCAAAAGACCATCAGTCATATTATTATTTGAAGTTTTACATCTGCCGTCTCCGCAATCTCATAAATTTCAATTAATCAAAGAATTAATTGCTACGATCTTCTCTTCACATAAATCCATGTACGGCTGGGGAAAGAAACAAGAACTGTATTCTTTCATCGAGTTTGGCATCATCACATCCGAACAAATAAACCGAGTCCAATATTATGATCAACAGGAAATTTTCACCATAGAGTGGCGATTAACTCATCCGCACCATCCATTAGCATCGCATCCACAAATTAGCTTGCAAAACGCCATATTATTAATGACTGGCAAATGTTTAAATAAAAATCTAACCCGTAGCAATTTCGGTATGGGTTTAGATCCTACACTTCGTCGATATACCACATATGAAAGATCCGTTCAGTCTTCATTAATAAAATATGCGTGCTGTGATTGCCTTGCTATCGAAACAATCATAGAAGCATTAAAAAATCCTCAAGCACCTCAATTAACATCCGAATCCTGTGACCCAACGACAGATTCCGAAACCGAGGACGAATTACGACCGACCGCCTCTTCATCATCAGTTCTAGCCGGCTTTTCGTCTCCTCCTAAATTGCCACAACAACAGCAGCAAAATGAGTCATTAGTTACACACCCAGAGTACGACCAAATATCTGAAGACGAGCTCCAGACGACCGATCGACTTGTACTAACGGATCGAGTCGTAACAATTGAACCAATGGAACAAGAGAACCAGCCGTCTACACCATTAAATATTCTAAAAAATCCGGACTTATGGCAATCAATTTCGGATTCAGAAACAGAAGATCCACCAGCTACCCCTCCACCGCCTACTGTTAATACCACTACGCAGACCGCCGTTCCTTATCGTCTAATTCCTATTAAACAATACAAACCGTATTCTTCAACTTCAATCGATCCTCCAACCACCGCAAACATATCCTCACAACCGTCCATCGTTCCGTTTGAACAAACAAACTTCATCGTCCGCCTGCCAGAAAAATCGCCCGTTTTATCTTCTACATCACCATCACAACAAATTTCTGCGACATCCGAACCGTCATCTTCTAGCGTACCTCCATCCACTTCAGCCACCAGCAAACGAAAACGCAAGGATACAAGATCCAAAGCACATCGACAGCGAGATAATCGCCGCAAAGAACTTAAACGCAGAGCTCGCGCATACACGTACGAAGTGATCAGGAGGA